GTGCCGTTCGCCGAAATTTCTGGCGTACCGATGCCCTTCGTCTTAAAACGGCTGCAAGCAGTATGGATTGGTATATTCCCGAACAGCTCAATGTGGACGGTGCCTGGAATCTTCTGTACTCCAAGCTGACATCACTCATTGAGCAAGTTGTCCCCATTTCCAAAAAGCGACCGCTCTCTAGAGGCCCTCCATGGATCGATCGTGATCTGAGATCCCTAATGAACAAAAGACGTAAGTTGTGGGACCGCTTTAGGATCACGCGGTCAGAGCATGACTACATCAGTTACAAAACGGTTAGGAATACCTGTACCCTGCAAAAACGTGAGAAACGTCAACAGTATGAACTCTCTCTAGCCACACTTTCTAGAAACACTCCTAAGACGCTTTTCTCCTACCTCAAACGGAGCACTAGAGCGGGCAGTGGTATCCCTGCCCTGTGTTCTTCCGAACATGAGGAGCCAGTTCACGAAGACACCGACAAAGCCAGCCTCCTGGCTCGGCAATACTCTTCAGTGTATTCAACCTCAGCGTCTTTTACTGACAGAACAGTGTGCACTCCCCCTTCTCTGTTAGAGCACGTCGACATTAACACTGACGTCGTGTTGAAACTTCTCTGTGCGTTGGATCCTTACTCATCGCCTGGTCCTGACGACTTGCACCCTTTGTTCCTCAAGACTGTGGCTCAGTACATTGCTTCACCTGTCACGCAGGTTTTCCGTCGATCGTTTCAGTCCGGACTTCTCCCGACCGCTTGGAAAATGGGCATCATCAAGCCCATATACAAAGGAGGGAACCGGCAAGACCCAGCTAGCTACCGGCCCATCTGCCTTACATCGATAGTGTGCAAAATCATGGAACGGGTCCTGAAACAGGCGCTTCGACTTCATCTCGAGCGGTTGAATCTGATATCCAGTGCCCAACATGGTTTTCGCAAAGCTCGCTCCTGCTCTACCAACTTGCTTCTGGCTAGAGAAAAGTGGGCAAATTCATTGGATGTTGGCAAACGCATGGATGTTGTGTTCGTGGACTTCAGTAAAGCTTTTGATAAAGTCCCTCATGAACAGCTTCTCTACAAACTCAGAGGAATCGGTATCTCTGGAAACTTTCTCTCCTGGATTTCTGATTTCCTACACACTCGTTCCATGCTGGTGAGAGTGAACGAAACGTATTCCGATCCTGTTCATATGACCAGCGGTGTTCCACAGGGCTCCGTCCTCGGCCCCGAACTCTTCAACATCTTCATCAACGATCTACCGTCGGAGCTTCAATCGGATTGCTTGATTTATGCGGATGATTTAAAGATATGGAAGGAGGTATCCTCTCTAGAGGATGCTGATCGACTACAAGAGACACTTGATCTCCTGCACACTTGGTCGATTCAGTGGCATTTACCCATCAATCAAGACAAATGTTCCGTCCTGCCTATCGGCGCTCCTGAACCACTCGGCGCGTACCACATAGGTGGTTTCTTACTAAAAAATGTTACATCAGAAAGAGATCTGGGCGTGATTGTTTCCCAGGACTTAAGATCCACTCAGGACACCAAGAAGAGGGTTGCCGCTGCCTACAGAATGTTTCATGCCATCCGAAGAGCTTTCTGTCGCTTGACACCGGAACTCTTTAGACTTCTGTTCACCTCGCATGTGCGCCCGATTTTGGAATACGGCCTTCCTGCTGCCTACCCGCTTTCCAAATCTGAGCGCGACATGATCGAAAAGGTCCAACGGCGTGGATCGAAGTTTGTCTCCGAGTTACGTGACCTGCCGTATCCCCTTCGGCTTCGGCATTTGAACATGTTTTCTATGGATTACCGCCGTCGGCGTGGGGACTTGATCTTTACCCGTCGTATCCTCAGGGGAGAACTGGGGAGAGAGTTGCAGGAATTCTTCCACCTCAACATCGGGAGTTCGACTAGAGGCCACCAATGGAAACTATTCAAGCCACGGAGGCTCAAAGTACGGTCCATTCTTGCTCTATCCACTCGCGTTGTGAATAATTGGAACCGGTTACCGCCGACAGTCGTTGATGCACAGACAGAGGATTACTTCAAACGACTGCTTGATACACACCTATTGAATATGCCGTGATCGTGTTGCTTCAGCTACGAGTGCGACGGCCTCTCCGGAGTTCCCGATGCGCAATGACGAGCATCCCAGCAATGATCGGGAAGCGATGGAGCTGACAAGCGATCTCCCCTCCTGCTCTCTACTACCCCAATGAACCAATGAACCCAATTATTTAGCCTCATATAATTTTGCATAGTAAGTTTTTTGATGCACAGTAGCCGGCTGGTAGCTTAACGGAACGATGCCCATCCGTTACCGGTAGCTCAGCCGGCTTGCAGCAGTTGCGTTTTTTCTCTCCTTTTTTCTATGTATTGCGGCACAGTAGTTGGGGTGTTTTCCACCTCTAGCTAACGTGTATGATGATGATGATGTATAGCACTATAACTGTAAACCGGGTAGAGGAGGTGCACAAAACAGCCGATAGGGCTTCAACAGTCTGATCCGACGACTGGGATGTGCAGGTCCTCAACACATCTAAGTTACAAGCTCACACAGTACAACACGCCTCCGCCTTGGCGACCAACGGGCGATCAGTTCTAATCAGCGCATAGCCAGGTAAATATACCTCACCGTCCGTGATATCTAGACGGTCTTGCTCACCAGCCGCCCGTCTAGTTTTGAGGTCTCTGATAGCCTCCTTTAACTTCAATCTATCTGCCAGTGGTAGGTACCGCTGAACGCTGACACCATTACCCTTAAGTTTGAACGCAAACCGCACCAATGATTTGCGTTCCTCCGGGGTAGGTAGATTTAATCTACTCAGCAATGCACAACATGGCCTCCAGAAGGGATTTTCGTGTCTGATGAATATAGTGGTGGCTCGCAAAAGTTGGGCGGATGCAGTGCATAACGGCCACGCACTGGACGTGCTTTTCGCCGACTTTTCGAAGGCATTTGACAAGATACCCCGTTTGAGGCTCGCGCAAAAGCTGACCTCCTACGGGGTATCTAGCCGCGCCCTTCATTGAGTGACTGCCTACTTGGAGGTTAGAGAACAGTGCGTACGGGTAGGCCGCGGCCTATCGTTTAAGCAGTCTGTCCGCAGTGGCGTGCCGCAGGGCTCGGTCCTTGGACAACTGCTGCCCCTATCTATGCGCATGACCTACTCGCGGAGCTTAAGGTACCACCGCTGCTATTTGCTGATGACCTGAAGCTTTGAACATTGTTACTGGGGGGTTCTGAAGCTATTCAGCGAGTATTGGATAAACTTTGGGACTGGTCTACTTTATGGTTACTAGCTATAAATTAGGCAAAGTGCTCCGTTCTTTGAATTTGAGGAATTTGTCCTCCTACCAAGTACTTGGTCGGTGGGGTCGAACTCCCCCGTGTATCTAGCCAGTTTGACCTACGCGTCATACACTCTTCGGATTTACACTCCGGCGACTACTGGAAGGTCGCAAGCAGAGGTTTCCGCATGTGGTTAATACGACCTTCGTTCGGAGTCTTGATGGGCGGCATCTTTACGAGACTGCTCTCGGGTTTCGTTCGGCCTCATCTGCAATACTGCGTCCAGGTTTGTCCGTTCTGCCTCGTCCGGGACAAAATGGAGCTGTTTTACGGATGGGTACAAGGTTAGTAGTAGGAATACGAAGACGGACGTACCCCGAGCATCTACTTAGTTTGGGAATGCATTCAATGCACTACCGAAGGCTTAGAGGAGACTTAAGCCTAAACTGCCGTATCTTAACTGGGAAGATTGGTCCTGGTTTATCTTCGCTATTCAGTCCCGCACGTAGTGTTTTACGCGGTCATTCCTTGAAGCTGGACAAAGCGCGGTCCGAGCGGAAATCCGGCTGTCACGCTGGAACATAATTGTAGAAAGTTATCAGGTAATCTACGGTAAAGCGGCAACTTGACGCTCTACGGTGGCAACACGAAACCTTTCAATTTTGCTGAGCAACTCGCATCTTCGAACTTCGACTTTCTCCATCTTTCTTCACGTACTACCATTATTTTCTTATTTCAAGTGCATTTCCCTATTCTGTATCTTCCATTTCTCTTCTTATCCTTTTCTTATTTCATGTGACTACCACAGCAGTGACGGTCAGGGCAGGAAAGGTGGGCATTAACTAGTTGGCCAGGGTGCGATACGGGTGTTCCGTTTTAGATCCATTTATAACTGAGCACTTTATCAATTGCTAGCTAAACGATCCATGCAAGATAGAACACTCACGGGATTTTCGTAACCTTCCAGTCCCACCCGAACATGAACTAGCAGGGTAGTGACGGTTTTCTTGTTAACGGATGAGAACAAACGCAAAAAATACAGAAAAACCAGTGGTTGTAGTATCGTTAACTTAGTCGACAGGGTAGTGAGAGTATTCGATACTCCCCAGCTGCTCAGGATACGTGGGCATTAATTGGTTGGACAGGGTGTGATGCGGTCTTTGTTTTAGGTCCATCAATACTTCAAAGTTCGCCAACTTCTGGTTCAACGACCCGCCGAAGAAGGAACACTCACGGGATCTATCCTATCGTTCTAGTCCCGCTTGAACTTGAAAAGGTTTTGACTCCGATGTCTTACCTAGTCTGGCTGGCGACTGAGATACATGGAGCCATCACCTCAGTAACTTCAGCTCAAGAATACAATTACTGGACTATTGGGATCGGGCGCTTCAAAATAAATCACGTTTTTGCGACCGCAGTCACACCCACGAGCACGACCGTCTGGTTAGAGGCATGCGGTAACACCCCGCAGGGCTCTCACAACGTCGGAGACAGCAAGTGGCATACCACTTTACCACAAGCCAAGTGCTTACTAGCTTGAAGGGAAGAGAAGTATAACCTCTGTTGAGACGATTTGGCTTCAAAAGATTGAGGGGCTCTGAGTACAGTCGGAAAATGCCACTCAGCGCGGTTTAACTGGTCATGATGTATCTACACATTAACCTGAAGCCACCCCGGCACCTAGATGATAAAGGGGACACGCGGGAATGAGCTACGAAAATAGGTGGCTTTGAAGATCACGGGTCATAAAATTGGTAAGCCGATTACAAACAGAAACGAATAACCACAAGCAGTGTGACCCGTAAGCGAGATTGTTAGGCCAAACACTTGGGCATTTAGTTTTGCACAGAAGTACACAAAGCACGCAGAAACGGTGGAAAAAACTGGTAAATTTGGTCAGATTAGTGATCTGCATAACAAACCGAAAAAACGGAGCCTACATCGCCAGTCGCGTTATAAAAAATTAACTTCCATCAGAAGCAATAGACTATTGCCCAAAGAACAGACATGAGTTTCACAGATTTGTTACTATTGTTCGGCCAGTTCCTTCTGTAATTGAGCCAAGTAATGTGCTTTCTTTGCTCGGACGCGCTCTTTACGCTGCTTGAGAGACATCTTCGAACGCTTAGTTGATTTCCGGTTGAACTCCTTGACAACAGGTGAAGCCGGCGAAGGATCATTTCGAATTGCAGCGTGAGCGGAAAGGTACATCTGTTCCATGTTATCAGGAGTAACACCATTCTTAATGTAAGAACTAAACTGGCGACGGAACGCTTCATCATCTTCCGCCTGAAGCGACCGCATGTAATCCGCTATATGATGACCCAGAATGCGAGCACGATGAATCTCCGGTTTGTATTCCTTTGCCTCCGAATCATAGCCTGGGAAACGATTGGTTCCGTGAGGAATTGATAACCCGCCATCAACAGCACCCTGCAGAAAACGCAAAGTAAAGCGAAACTTACTTTTAAAGCACCGAAAATGTTGGCGCCAGCTGTAGTTCGTGCGAGGCCTACATCCAAGTAGCATTGAAAGGCGCCTCTCTCTCCATCAGCAGATTCTACGTTATAAACTTCTCCATCGACCCCTTTTACGCCTTCATAAAGTTCGTCCAAATTAAGTTTCCGCAATAACCTTCTAGCGCACAGTAAACCGGTGCAGTAAGCTGCTGCATAATTCGACAGGCCCACCTTCACACCGTATCTGGGAAGCTCGTGAGAGTAAGCGCTGCACATTACACGATCTCCATTCATGCGCGCAAATACGACCTGAAGTCATTAAAAACAATCAACAAACCTGACATATTACGTCCTTGTTTGTGATTCGCACGACGAAACGATATTTAGGAGTATTGTACTTGTTCTTAGCCTGCCAGATGAGGCGTTTGCGTGCATAGTAATCAGTTTTGCCCTCTAATCAAAACAGTTAAATGGACAAAAACAGACCTCGCCGCCGTCTAAACTTGACTTGGAACCTCTTAAAGTATGCCTTTGTCTTGACTAACTTAACTAGAGCCTTGTGCAAGATAACCAAACGAAGAAGAACCCACCATGCCTGCGGACCCGCCGATAGTGCAACGAATTTTTACTCAATTCAATTAAACACATACATGCAAAATGTAAAGGCTTCCGAATAATTAGCATTCAAATGCTTTCGACATGTGCTGGCGAGGGTTAAAATAATGCACTTTGTGGCTGCTTAGGTTGGTTACGAAGGCAAGCCCAAACAACAAATTACTATCGAAAGTGGCATGTATAAATGTGTACCGTGGAGTTCCGTTGGAATTTTACTGAAATGAAACAACATTAATTAAGTTTACTGGAGGAAAATATTTGCGTTTGCAAACCATTGTTTGAACCAGCGAATATACTTCTAACCGATGTAGCGGGGAATTCATCTACCCGGCGAATGTTAGAATGCGCGCGGTAGATCAGGGGATGGTGAGCATACAGGCATGCAATTATACTACCGCGGGTTTTCGCTTAGCGGCATTGTACATAAGCACATGTATGCCATAAGTGGACGCTAAGCATCCAGTAATCCACATAAACCTTTGGCTTCGGGATTTTAAGTGATCATTCAGTGACAGCTTCCAAAGTTAATGAAGGCCACGTAAGTACTGTGGTAGCTTGCTAATGTCTCCCGAGCACGAAATGAACGAAAACTCCCTCGCAATGAATCTGGTAAGCTATGTTGCACCAAAGTATGCCTTATTGTTTTTTGTGTTGTAGAGCAGGAGAGGAAACCCTACTCAGCTCTATCGATGCAATCTCATACTGCGTTTGATGCGAGTCGTTGCGTTACGACGTTTCTCAAGGGTACGTCACAATTTCAATTGCAAGCCGCAAGCCGCCAACATACTTAGGAAATCTTTGTCTGGCAGCGGCTTCAAATTTCCCTGGATGGTGCGTCTGCAACTTCTGCTGGTAGACCGTTCCAGTCATCTACTACTCTGGTAGAGAAGGTGACGTCCATGCGTATTCTGTGTCTTCTTCCATTAGATAGTTTCGTTTGTGACCACGTGTGGAACAGCGTTGGGCCGGAAGAATTATTTTTACTCACTTTCATGTTCCTCTAGTTGGATGCATCGGCGACGGCGGAAACCCTGGAAAACCGACTTATCTGCTGGAGTTGGAGGAGGTACGGGAGACAGCAAAGCCCCAGAACAGCTTGCGGTGCATCTCTGAACCCTTTCCAGCATAGCGCATCAATATTTTGAAGCTGGTCGGCCATCTGCTAAGACCGGACTGACGTACGAAGTAAACAATGTTCGAAAAATCACAGGAGTCAATCGAACGAAGGACTTTCTACAGCCACTCAACGGTTTTCTTCCAGTGGCTACCTTCTCCAACGTGTTCTATGTCGTCCAAAGGTCAGAAGCCACAATAACCGTGAGGTCTCTCTCTTGAGTGATATTGCTGGGGAGTAGCACACCGTTGTGTTATACACCCTACGGTTCAGTGCTACTCATATGGAGAACAGCGCATTTAGCTCGATTTACTGGCAGTTGCCGCTCCATGCACCATGCGTGTAGTTTGTCTAGAGCCACTTGTAACCTGTCCGCATCCTCAAGCCTGGGTACTATTGAGCGTGGCTTGAAGTCAATGACGTAGCTCAAACAGCCGGTTAGAGATGCAGTCAGCAGACCGTTGCCGTACAGTCTGAAGAGCTCTGGTCCGAGCACTGATGCTTGGGGATGCAACGGAGCATTTTCATGGGAGCAGTGAGTCGTTGGTTCACCTGTCTACGTATTATTCTACCTCTTAAGTAATCGGCAATCTAGGAGAGGTAGTTTCCTGTAATGTTAATTCCCTGGAGTTTATGCATCAGTCGTACGTGTATAATTTATTGGAGGCTTTACTAAAGTCAATGCGTATTACGTCAACCTGTTTTTGGACATCTGTGGCTTCTGCCCGTGTTTCCCTGGCGAAGATAACGTTAGAGATGCATGTGTGCGCTCTCCGGAAGCCATGTTTAGCGTGTGAGATCATGTTTAGGTTCACACAGTGTACCTTGAGGGCACGCTTGCCTATTCGTTCCATGGATTAACATGCGACTGCTGTCAAGTATTTTGGCCGGTAGTTAGCTTTGCCTTGTTGGTTACCCCCTTGTAGTTGGGCAGGATGGTTCCTGCTTTCCGGCCTGTGGATAAGAGGCCGCCTTCGAGAGTGTGCAGGAACTACTCGGAAGATATGGTCAGCTAGGTACTCAGCTACCGTTTTGAGGAAGCAGGGAAGCAATACGTCCGGGCCTAGGGAGGAATTCCGGTCCAGTTTAAGATGCAGCTTAGTGTCTACCTCGGGGTTACTTTCAACTTGGTCCACAGGAGTAGCAGGCAGGCAAACTGTTGTTGAGCGACAGAAATCCACTGAGTAGCCTGAAGAATATTGCGCAGCCAGCAGGTTAGCATTTTTAGCATCGCCATAGAGATCTTTACTTTCCTTAGGAGAGGATAGAGGGGGATTCCAATGCCAGCTTCGGCATTACGCTTCAGGTAGGCAAAAAGATGTTTGAGACGGTTTTTGATTCCATGGTCGGCTTATTTTCATTTTGTAGACCCTTTTCTCCTTACTTCAAAGTGCATAGGTTGATGAAAGTTTCCTACTCTATTAGGTTGTTTTCATTTATGTGAGCATGAAACTGTTCCATAGTTTTCATTCGTTTTACATTCAGGTTCATGCTCCTTTATTGATCCATAAGAGCACCTCTGATGGTGACCTGCTACTGCGGTTTAGAACAAACTGTCCAATGATCAGCTTTAGCACAGATCGGAGACGCTCCGTGCGTCATCAAGCTTCAAGTATTGCGGTAAACCACAATCCATGTCCCTTGCCATCCTATTCTATTCAGTACTGGTCAGTGCGCCAGAAACTTCGGTGCAGTGTATCCTGATGGTCGATTCTTTGGCTTCGTGTCCACGAAAAAGCCGCAGATAAAGTTGCAGCATCGCGGAAGACGGCGATCACATAGGAGACTGAAAAGTCGGTAGAACATGGGAGGACCAAAACGGGTGCAGACAACACGAACGAGAGCGGACAACGCAACCCATTTCAAGGATGCATGCAGAGCGCGGAACGCGAGCAACGAACGAGAACTTGCGCGCTACAAATAGTACTGAAAAGTGATGTGTCGATAGGCCAATGAAACAGACAGAAACACTTTTGTCTATGCACCCTGGACGAGCTCCAAGCCGAATAAAGTAACCGAGCGCAAGCAAAGCAAGCGCTTTAGAACTTCAGGCTGTCCAGAAGACGGGCTACGGAGGCAAAGCCACGGGGTCGGTCAGGCAGCTAGGGCAATGGAATATGCCGCCTGAAGAGATACGAACGTGACATGTTGTGCTTCCTTATGTACGTTGTGTTGTGGGACGCAAACATGGTCGCTAAATGCATCAATGCGCGCAGCTTGGGAACACCGTGGTCGCGCGCCATGAAGATTGTACTTGCTTGCCACTTCCCTCTTGCCACACAGGTATCATTCTTTCTGAGTTTTTAGGGTCGTTAGATTGAGGCCGAAGTGTGGACCAGAAGGTCTGGTGTCTGACCAGTGACCACCCGCGTGATGTCAAGACATGCTGTATCAGTTTGCACTCGCGATCGGTACCATGGAGCGCAACTGCAAATGAGTCCCGTGGGAGAGCACACTGCAGAAGTTCCCAGATCATGCCGGGGTGTTAGAGGCACCCATACGGGGACAGCTTGTGCCTCTGCTTTGGGTTCGTAACGGGCGTAATTTGTGTGAGCCTGGTCTTGCAGGTGCTCTGTAAACCACTCCGATCATTAGCGAAGGGTATCCGTCAGGAATTCGCCACCAGAGCACCGCTGTCATAGTTTCCTTGTCAAAATCGGGTTCGCCAATGTGGGCCTTGAAGTACTTCTTTGAGTAAAGGATTACTACGCCTACAGACCTCTCACCAAAGCGCTCGCATCCTGAAACACGAACCTCGGAGTCAGACACTTAAAATGACAGGAAAGTTTTCTGTGAACGCCATTAGATCCGGTTGCTTTTCAGAGGCAAACAGTGCAACTCACCTAGCTAGTTGCTGAGACTGCACATGTTTGTAGGTATATCTCGTACTTCGTTCTTTATACTTGCGGTCCAGGAAGGGGGATTGACAACCATGGAGCTAGCGGAGGGTTTCGTACCAGGCGAAGAAGCATAGTCCGTAGATCCGTTTTTCCGTTTGCCGGTCGCTTTGGCAGCGCGCAGACTGCTTACCTCATTCGGAATCGGTCTTATAAACCGAGGTCTTTCAGAACAACGAAGGTTTCTCACTTGATTCGCGGGGTCCGCCTCAATATGCGTTGACCATCTTTTGAAAAATGACAGACGATGTTCAATGGCCGAAACTTGGCTGGGTCCGCTTGTTTTTTGTCAAGGTAAAAAGCGGAGCATAAGTTTATCCTTTGCTCATCCTCATCGAACCATTTGAAGCTCATTCGGTTAAGGAAGGCTTGGTCGTCTAGCATTCTTTCAGATTGAGACCCTTTGTTTGATTCTAGACGTTTGTGAATATCAGGTAACGATTGCGAGCAGGCGGCTTGTTTCAATTCGGTGATGCTGGCTTTTATGGGCATTGCTTTTTGTTGACCAGTTGCTTCAGCTGCCTAACCATTTATGACGAGCTTTATTGCCGTGTTTTGGTGGCTGTTTTCACTTTGGCCGTGAGGACCTCGGCCTCAAAGCATTGGTTTCCACTATGGTTATCCTCGCTTTTGTTGAGGTGCTGTTGCTCGCGTATGCTACATGGGACAAGTTTTGTTCATCAGTGCCTTCAGTTCTCACTGAGCAACGGTAGTAAACCCAAAGTAGCGGCGGTCGGCCGACTTCTTTATTCTTTCGGTGCAGACACAATGATAAGATAGGTACCTCGCTGTCTTTATGGGAGACGGCTTGCAAGGAAGCAGTATGTAGGTTGCAAGATTTCCTCAGAAGTTGCTGTAAAAAGTCGGTCCTTCAGGGACAAAACGTATATTCTGCAAACAACAGGACCAGGCGAAAACGGAGACTGAGGGCGAGTGAAACATATCGGTATATACAGCTAGTTGGATCCATAATTAACGACCTTTGTGGATGCATGACATTTTTCCTTTGATTCAGTCAAACAAACTCACTCCAATGCGTCCAACTGTTTGCCAATCAGCGTGCATGCGAGAAACGTGTGAACGTCCAATCGGCTGCCGCCTTTGCTTGCGGCAACCTAACGGCTTCCTTGCTGGGCTGGCAC